ATTCATGCTCCGACGCTCGCAATTTTTACCCTTAATGATCTTGAGTGGAGTCAATATGGTACTTATGAAATAGCGTTTCCCGTCATCCGGCCATTGGCCATTCAGCGAGACCGTAGCTGAAAAACTTTCAGCCGTCCAGGTTGCAATCATTCTCCTTGCACTTTAGAGAGGGAAAAATATATGCATTATCCCCAGCCAAATTTTCAGAGGGAGCTACCAGACAAGTATATCAAAGCAGCAAGGGGCATGGTATCTCATCAAAATTTCAAATCGAGCACTAAGCAGTTTCACTTATTGAGAACTTCTTCAAAACAAACCTGCACCAGAAGATTATCTAAAATCTTAGGCAATCTTTAAATTTTTGGAACGAATTGAGATGGAAACCTTCAATCTTGACAGAGTCTCTAGGTCAACGATGTATCTCATTTTCAATTTTGACCCTTAGTGTTTTTTTGAATATCAAATGTGGCCCAATCAGAACATTCATACACAAGAGTCACTTTTACTAATACTTACGAGTTAATACTTGACTACTTTACTATTAACTCATTAAATATTTGTACTTAGGAATAACTATGTATGCATTATCTCTTGTTATCTATTGAATAAATAATTTCTCTTCACAAAAAAAAGAGTCACTTTTGAAATGCTCTCTGGCGCTCTGCGACGCCGAACCGCCAAAGCACTCGGTCTTTCTACAACTCCTCTGAGAGTTAGCACTCCCACATTTCATTTAAAAGCCTCCTATCGCCACCCTTTCACTGGGTGTCCCCTCTGTTTCCTATCAGGAGGGATCAACATAGAAACAAGAAAACAATAACACTCACGAACCAGGACATGTCGTGTGCTGATCGTCTTTAGGGAATTTGCGTGTAAACCGCGCTAGTAAACACGATGTTATTCATACCCTCAATGAGCTAAACGTATGTGATAACACGTAGGGATGTGAGAGGATGTTTGGATGAGGCTTGCCTCTTTAAAGTGAGATTTAAAGCCACTTTCCACGTGGCAGGAGAAAATAAGCGGGTGATAAAGTCTTGAAATAGTTTCATTTTGGAAGATTTATCCCCTTTGTCCTCGCGGTAAGCACAGGGAGATAGAAGTCGGTTTCCACTCCACCACCTCACATTATGATATCAGATGTATTCCGCACGCTGAATGCTCGGATATTTTTGTAGCCAGCAAATTAGTTTTCACGCGAGGCCGAAATAACTCATGGCTACGTCATCAGAGTAATGTCATTATTTATGTGCTAATTAGGCTCCGGAATGCGACCAGCTATCCTCCCTTGGCGGACCCTTTCGGGTAATGCGATGTTAACGCTGCCCCGCTAAGTAAAAACGCCGTGTAAACATTCGAATGTTGCCACATCTCTCCTTTGAAAATTATTATTTTTGAGGAAAGTTATGAATATTTTTCTTTGGAATTTTCAGACTTTTTAGATCAAATTACGAACGAAATCTTGTGAAAAATTGGAGTAGAAATATTCACAAATTTCTCTGAAAATTCGTGATTTGTCGAAGGAAACTCGGCAACGCCTGGTGGCTTATACGTTGTTCTTACTTAGCGCGGCAGAACGAAGGTGCCAGCTTACGATTTGTTTAGCAGTTAAGGCTGAATTTCAGCCGACCCTCCACGGGACTAATTTCACTGAAGTCACTCGACGAGCAAGTCTCTGAAGTTAACGTCACAAAGCTCGTCTTTTGAACTTAATTTTGGTCTGTGATGGTATCAGCCTACTCGGATACATTAAATTAACAGCTTTGGCGTTTCGGAAAGCTCATTCATCAACATTTCATTTAGCTTGCCCTGCTTCCTAGAGTGTAAGAGGTCATGTATCGGTACGCTCTTTGTCGATGTAATGATACGAAGAATGAGCTCTACTCTATGTCTAGTAGTCAGGAAATTGAAAAGTGTGTTCTTCTCAGAACGCTAAAACCCCTAATTTTTTCCTCAGATTAAAGAAAACTTGCTTTCCTTAAGTAAAAATTTTGGAATTCTTTCTCTTGAATGTGTGGCATACTAATTTTTTTGTTTTGTATTAGTGAATCATGTTCATATTAATGTAGAAAAATGCGCAGCAAAAAACCTTAGAACGTTACTAATCTCCTTGTGAAATTTTATTTTGATCGAGGAAAACCAACCATAATTTTGCGAATGATTTTCCTTTGCCTAAAAATATATTCTGAACCGTTCAATTTACTTGGATTTTTTCCTAGTTTTGCCTTCAATATTTTCATTTATATCTTTAGTTCGATGGGATATTTTAATGTTTTGCTTAGACTACTTTTAAAATACATAGAATTTTACTTGAATTTTAGTTTAGGTTTGTTAGGGGATAGGCTCTCGTGCATGTTTCATTTTTCCTCCTCACTAAAAATGACGAACTACAAATATACCCACTTTTTTCGTACTTTGCAATATCTTTATCTATTATAGTACTCGCTTTGTAAACAACGTGGTATAAATTGCATGGAAATTTCCTATTGAAATACACGTAACTTGCTAACATCTGATGCTCCCTGAGTCCGAATCAGGGGGGGGGGCAATTTTTAAGGGTCAAGATGGCGCAGAGACTTCATTTTGTAAGCGCCATGACCGATTTCTTAGGCGCATTTGGCGCGTTGGCGCCTGTGAGTTTCAAACACTGGTCCGAATCCTTGTGTTTTCCCAGCAGAAGTCGTCGCGAGGGGTCGACAAGGACAAAACACAAATCTCGACGCAACCGTTGATGAAAACACATCCTTCGAGATGCGATTACCGTGAAACCCCACATCAAAGGGTCCTGCGACCGAACTAGCCGCAAGCCAACTCGCGCAAAATCCCGCGTATTTTGAGTATGAACCCCGGCGGATCGAAGAGTTTCTTCCGAATTCCGACAACCTCGCACGGTAGTTGAGGGATCACCCGCTGATAGAATGAAGGACTCCCGCGGAACGCGGAAATCCCAAGTAAATTGGCATCGACAAAGGTGGAACTTGGAACTTATATTGAATCAAAATCCTGCATGAGTATCATCCTCAGTGCTTCGTTATCTTTATCGTCTTTGAGGCGAACCAAAGCATTTGATAAGTCGTGGATCTTCAGCAGCCTTCGTGGAAAGCTCGGTGAGAGTAAATCCTTATCGGGAAATTGTTGCTATTTTGATTTCCGGCGCTGATTGGGGTGAGATTCTCGTTCTTACTCTACATTTAGAGTGACTACTATCCACTTTTTCCGCATTTTGCAAGTATAATATGAAAGGTGGTGTCTTGCAAAAGGGAACTATTTAACATTTTAAAGATATTAGGTCAAGGGCGGTTTTGAGCTTGTCTATCTGTAAATAATTTTTCCTATCAAAAAGCAACGTCCGCAAAAAGTTGATTTCTTCCTCGTTTTTTCATTGTCCTCAATGGAAGGATGAAACTTTAAATTCATTTTGCTCTGTTCCAACCCTGTTAATACGGTTCATTGCTTATGCCTACGTAAAAAAGGAAAAAAAATAGCATCAACTAGATTTTGAGCGGATATCAGGCCTGTCCAGATTAAAGTATAGTCCTGCGACTCCATAGCGAGCATCTACCAAAATTGTAGGTGATGCTATTCTAGAACCCAGCAGTAGCGCCATTTTTCCGTAATGTCCATGCCTCTTGGTTGTTTTTCATGTCAAAATCATGTGCTTCATTATATATAGATATAATTGCGTACATATAATATTAAAGCCTCTTTCACAGCATCCTCATGTGCTTTGCGACGCCTAACCTCTAAAAGCGTGTTTTTCCCTACCTATTATTCTTTACAATCCATTATGTTTCATAAGATTTAATAATATGATTGATGAATTCCTCTAAGTCTTGAATGTCTTAATTTGGACGCATTGTCAGTTGAGGCGCCAATCCCAAAAAAGCCAGGAAAGCTTCGTGAGAGCAACGGCAAATAACTTAATAATCTCACGGGCCAAAAATAGGTCAAACGCAGTCAAGTGCAATGCAGGACGTATAATGAGAATATTGAAGGCGCCGAAAGAGCCTTACGACCGGTCAGAACTGCCTCGGCTCGCTCCCCCTTCCACGCGCTCAATTATTTCCCGTGCTTATTGAAGAGCGTCGTGAGGGCATAAATTCGAGCGCGAGCCCCACGCCACGAGAAAATGAGGCCGTTGAAAAGGAACATAACAAGTGGTCGCCTCCTGGAAATAAAGAGGGGTCGCCCTCAAAATCGGGTTTTAATGAAGGCACACACACAGCGCGGGGACTCCTGGGAGCTAGGTCGGGCAGGGTCGGGAAATTAGATCGAGGAGGAAATCACCAAATATATTTCCGTTTTATTGGAGAGGTAAAAAACCCCGGGCCGTGCTCAAATATATTTTTTGCGTGACTGCTTTCCCCGATCGCGGTGGAAATTGAAAACGAGCACCGTGGGCCCTCGGGAACTCGCCGCGCTCGAAAACAGCCCGCTTCGCTCGTAGCGTGATCCTTGGTCACCCGATTTTGCATTCGATTACACAATAGACCACCAGACAGGGTGCGAATTCGAGCTCTCCGTTCTATGCTTCCTCCTCAAAATTTTACGGAGAGCACAATTCGCGCTACGAAAATTAGGAAAATAACTCCAAACCAAGACTTCAACGTTTCTATTTCGCACTGGTTACAAAAAATATTCAATGACTTTGGCAGGCTCCTTAATTTATTGAGCAGTGTTCTTTACCACGTGTATACTGCCGTGCTGAGGAAAAACGCCGTTTGAACCGTCATGCGTTGCCAAATTTCCGTTTATAAAACCCAAATTTTCTGGTAAACTTATGAATATTTTCTTCCCAATTTTTCAGATACTTTTGTTCACAATTTCACCTAAAGATTCTGGAAATTTCAAGGAAAAATATTCATAACTTTCCTCAAAAATAAACATTTTATCGAAATAAATTTGGCAATTCTCGAATGTTCATACGGCGTTCTTCCTTAGCACTGCAGAGTAGCCAATCTATGTCTATGTATTAAAGTTCTATTTTGATATTGTTACAGATCCCGCGCATGGCGTCCTGATTGTCATTCCGCACCTTCTCGGTAAGATTCTCATTTTTTTCAAATTTGAAAGATGAAGTTATTTTCTCTCGAATATTCTCGTAAATTTCACTCGTTCTACCCAAATAACTAGTACTCAAGTAATAAGTGTGGGAAATTATGACAATCTATCGTACAATTTCAGCACTCATCCCCTTGTACCATTCTGGATTAGTGTTATATGTGTGTACTTTTTTTCTCAAGGAAAAAAAATGTTAGGGGTCATCTTCTAAAATTGTGGTACTACCCAAGTTTGTCGGACAATATAGACAATTCTAATTAACTATGGTAGTATAGCAACAGTGTAACATTTGTGTCGAGTTAGTAACCTACTTTATTGAGGTACTTCCACAATCAATCGTGGTACTACAACAATCAATTGGGGCATTACCACAATTAATTGGACTGCATTTTGCAATTTGGAACTATAAATTCTGGCCCGGTTTAAAAACAACGTATGTGCCATTAGTTTTCCGTATTCACATATGTTTTTTTTTTCAGATGAGCCAGAATCCATAGTTCCAAATTGCAAAATGCAGTCCCATTAAGGTACTACCCTTAATTAATTGGAAACGTCCGTACTATCCAACAACCCCTTGATCTTTTTTCCGTGTAACTTTAAGAGCATCAAACAGCAAAAAAAGGATATCATCAACAATTTTCGGTAGAGGACTCCCGGACCCCCCTTAATCTGAGGAGGCAGACC